CTTTAAAACCAGCGCCTACCTGGCCCAGTCTCCCCAGCTCTACAAGCAGATGTGCATCTGTGCTGACTTTGACAAGGTCTTCTGTGTGGGTCCAGGTAAGACTGCCTCCCATCTGTCCCATCACACATTCATTCGCTTATGGGAAGCGAGTGAAATGAGCAGCAAGAGTGTCATGAAAACTGTAGACCCTATTAATGGAGATGACAGTTTTAAAATGGCTCCAAATGCATTTAGATTGTTAATCTTTAACAGACCTCCCTCTGTTGCTATCACCGTGGTCAGAGCTGCTGCAGAACTTTGTGTGTTAGTGACACAGTGGGACTTGTAAAAGACTTAATGGTGCTGTACTGGGTTTAAGAGACCCCACAGCTCTTTAGGTAAGCAAACACTGCCACCATCTGATTGAATACATACAACATGTAACAATACAAAATGCAGAAATACAAAACAACCTGTTGACAACCGTCCTTTTTAATTTGCTATATGCATCTGATCTTAATATGACACACCGTTCTCCACCAAGACGAAATGAAACATTTGGGAGAAGGATGCACATTCAGTATTCTACTGACCGTACTGAGGTCTGTGTTTGCTCCTCTCTAACTCCACCAGAGAAATCAAAGGGCTTAAGGTCATCGTTGCTTCTAAAGCTACAATTTACTCACCACTGTTGCCTTAGTTACGGTCGCACCAATTCAGCAAGTAAGGAGAATCAACTCTCCTCGAAATCCCAGTAGCCAGAAGGGCTGTGTTTAAACGTTGCTTCCACAGCTATGTTGCCACCATCTGAAATCGGCTAAAGTGGTCCACCAGGGAAGAAAGCGATGTAAACACAAGGCTGGTGTTAATTACAGAGGAGCAAATATCATGCTAGTTAGGTTTGGAGTCTGTTGTTTCAGTAAGTGCATGCAGGGGTCAGATGCATAAACCTGCAGATCAAGACTAAAACTCGTGCATTTATAAAGCCATGCATATGCATGGTTGTGTTCTATAAATCTCAGTCATTGTGAAATGATGTGCATGTGCATGATTTCCGCTTCATTCAGCTATATATGGGTCTAGACACACCTTTGATCAGCTGTTTGCATGCATACAGACGTCTCCACCTGTCTGAAGACCCGTCAATTCAAAACAACAGGAAGAAAGAATTTCACATTAGTAAGGCTCAGAGCAGTCATTCGTATGTGCAACCATAAGAACCATATATGTAGAGCTCATAATGTCATTTTCATCATACAACTAACTGCAAACAGTCAATGCTAGTGATATCAGTGATGATTTAGTTTATCACACACACTTGGCAAAGTGCTTCACAATATAAGATACAATGAAACGAAAGATTAAAATCTCCCAAAAACACCATCACTAGTAAAAGTACTTACATACTTACTTACATATTAACACATTGTCCTGATTTTGTTAGATTTCATGTGATAAAGCTCCATCTGTGGCCATATTGTTAACTTGGTTTTAATGTACTTCTGGCTTGTGACAGATGACAGTGAATAAAAGGGCAATTTCTTTAGAACGTGTTTAAACTTGCCATTTGTTCAGACATTAATATGAAGTCGTCATCATTTCAGTTTTCAGGGCAGAGGACTCCAACACCCACCGTCACTTGACTGAGTTTGTGGGTCTGGATATAGAGATGGCCTTCAACTACCATTACCATGAAGTGATTGACTCCATCACTGACACCATGGTGCAGATCTTCAAGGGCTTGAGAGACAAGTAAGATTAGGAATTACACTGTGGAGCTCAGACTTCTCGTCGTATTTAGTTATACTCAAACTTTCTGTGAGTTAAAGTGACGATTGCACCAAAAATGAATTAAAATGACATGTCATAGAGGCTCAAGTTGTATTCTCAACAGGAAGTACATTTCGACAGGATGAGTTTCCTGGGATGGAAATTAATCACAGGGCAAAAAGTCAAAATATTGTATTTCTTAGTAAAACTATTTCAGCTGTTGAATCCATAATAAGTATCATCAGCCACGTCTGTCAACTCTACTGAAAGTCTTTCCACTCACTCTGTCGACAAAAAATATTATGATGTGGCTTTATTGCCTCCTAGTGGTGGAAATCGGTGCAACATGTGTAGAGAAAGCAGAATGATTTCTTGTTCATGATGAATGTAGGACTGAAAACAACAGTCGGTAAAGCTCTTTTCATCAATGGAACCCCTCAGTATTTCCCGCTTCAAGTATCCTCAAGTGTGCTTCAATCCAGGTACTTTTTGGCATTCAACACTTTAATATGCCTCTAGTTTTTCTGGCCATGGTGGCAGCACTGCTGAAGGACAGGATTGACTGGAAATTACACCAATCAGGTGTGCTGGGGATTCTGTAGCATTGTTGGAGTTTTATCCTGTAAGTCATTTGCAGAAGATTGTAAAAATGCAATAACATTTATGAAGAAAAGTATAAGGGGCTTTACACTGGACAGACAAGGTTATGACGTAATTTCTTTGCTACCTTTTGTTTGTTAAAATAGCTATGTGCGTGTGGGAGGGCTGTTCCACTGATGGGTCAGATGCCAAATTAGCTGCAATTTTTCCCCTTGTACTTCAAATGTCAAGTCACTGTTAGTTTCAGCTTGTGACCGCTTGTTCCTCTTTCTCAGGGCTGTCTGACTGTTAGGCTTTTGTTCTCACGACTTTCCAGACTGTTCCTCCTTGACGTAATAAATCATTTTGCATGTGCGTTTGACTGATGTTGCACTTCAGTCAAACATGACCTGGCCTCTGTGGAGCTCGGTTAGTTTCTGTCTCATGTTGCCTTGGAAAACTATTAGAACACTTATTGTTCTTCTGCTCTTTGTTCAGCCCAGTATCAGCCACATTGTAGTAGTGTTTCTATTTGTGATCTAGCATTATCCCTTATCTGTTACCACTATCTCTGTTTTGCTCTGTTTATAGTAAGACAGCATGTTTGAAATTTAAATTCCGTCCAAAGAAATTGTTAGAATAGTAAAATAATATCAGTGTGTGGGCTGTGACCCTTATCAGGTTAACTACCAAAGGCAAGATTTTCTGGTATTCATCTCAGTGTGTGGGTAGGAATTCTGAACCCTGGTTAGTGGGTTTTAATGTGTGTGTGTGTGTGTGTGTGTGTGCTGTGTGTGTCTGTGTGTGTCTGTGTGTGTCTGTGTGTGTCTGTCTGTGCGCAATGCTTGTCTGTCTTTATCAGCTTCCAGACCGAGATCCAGACGGTGAACAAGCAGTTCCCCAGTGAGCCTTTCAAATTCCTGGAGCCCACTCTGCGGCTGGAGTACACCGAGGCCCTGGCCATGCTGCACGAGGCCGGGGTGGAGATGGGTGATGAGGATGACCTCAGGTCAGAATACATCACACGTTCTGTGTCCCACATCCCACTCTTTTTGACGGATTTCTTTAATTTAATGAAAGCAGAAATACACTTTGACTTGAGTTTTCAGAGAGGAAGTGAAACATCAGACCAATAACAGCCTTTTTAAGATTCAAGTCACTGTTGTGATCTGTGCTGTTTTATTTAACGATTCACAACACAGTTTAAAAATGTATAGAGATTTTTTGTCATGCTGTGGGTATAAACCACAAGAGCAGAATTCTAAACTTACATAATATACACTTGCTGGAAAGTTTCAAGATGCAGTTACCAGTTCTAAAGTGAATGCATTTTTTTTTGCCCTGTAGTACGCCCAATGAAAAGCTGCTTGGCCGTCTCGTCAAGGAAAAGGTATGTTCAACTGTGTTTCATTCATTTTATGTCAGAGTGTAAAAATGGGAATATTGCTTGACTGGATAGTGGCTATAGAAAAGTGTAAGCAGGTTAGAAAAGTCTGTGTATTTAAAGTATTAAGCCATTAAATGATGGGTTGCAGCATTAAAATCTGCACTTATCAGCTGCCTGCCTTCATCAGAGTGCTCCAACAAAACCAAGGTCATCTAATTATGAAGTCATAACACCTGAACCCACAGTGAGCAGAAAGAAGCATCATTAATCTGTATGCATCCCATAATAGTGAGGATAGCGAGCTCTAGTTTCAACCAAGCACCATAACAGTAAGGTTTATTTCAAGTAGTTCATTATGCAATCATTACACAGGTCCACAGGTATCTGATTACTACTGACCGTAAGCATCACTTTCTTTTCTCAGTATGATACTGACTTCTATGTGCTGGATAAATACCCACTGGCTGTTCGACCCTTCTACACGATGCCTGATCCAAGCAACCCTGTAAGTATCTCACATACTCATACACATAAACAGCGTGCACAGTCATTAGTTACATCGTCAGAAATGTGCAGTAACAAATGTTACGTAAATGTTTGCCGCTGAATTTTGTAGTTGACCTGTGGTTAAACTTGCATTGAGGCCAGAGAGCAGATAGTTGAGTCAGAGACTCTTCAGCCCTGTGTCCTTTCGCTGGATATACTGGCTTATAAACCGCAGTAAAGCTTTCTCCAGAGTGATCATGAAGAATTTAACTGAAGTACTAATATTATTATAGCATCATGACAGATATGTTAGCAGGGTCACAGAAAATCCACCACACTGCTAGTTTGTTGGGGGTTTTCGTTGAGTATCTCTGGAATGTATATGTGAACACAACTTGGCTTCTGCTGTATCTTAAGTTGTGTACTCCCTTGTTGACTTGCAGTCCTTCTTTTAACTTGTTGAACTTGTTTAACCTGTTGAATTCTTGATCTCACTTCCTTTTATTTATTATCCAGAAATACTCCAACTCATATGACATGTTCATGAGGGGAGAGGAGATCCTGTCTGGAGCTCAGAGAGTCCATGATGCCCAGCTGCTGACTGAAAGGGCCATGCATCACCAGATTGGTAAGAGTAGGGGGGTGAAGAGATGTCTCTGTTAAAGGCTTATTAAGTGATCTACATATGAATTTTGTCTCCCTCTATTGGGGACCAGTTTGAATTACAACAAGAGAGAATGTGTTGGATTGATGGTTTGTAAATGTTTGTGAAAGCAAGCAATAAAAGTGAAGCTATTACAAGTTTTTCACAACTGAATTCATTTATTTTTCTGATACTACAGATCTGGAGAAGATCAAGGCGTACATCGACTCCTTCCGGTATGGAGCTCCCCCACATGGCGGTGGAGGCATTGGTAAGGAATATCTATTTTTGGGGAACCTACAGGAGACAGAACATGTTCTGTTTTACTGACGGATGGATTAAAAGCTTACATTTTAAAAACCTTTTTTTTTTATTATGAGAATATGCTGTAAGTGAATATAGCTCCAGGTGTCTTGTGGGTTTTTTTAATAGCAACAGATTTATTGAGTTGAAATGTCATCCCTCACAGGCCTGGAGAGAGTCTGCATGCTGTACCTGGGTCTCCACAACGTGCGTCAGACCTCCATGTTCCCACGTGACCCTAAGCGCCTGACCCCTTGAACCCTGAACCTTCACGGACAAACCCAGTCATCACTGGACTTAACACACAGACTTTGGTGATGGGAAACAGTACTAATCCACAATCCAGAAAAGGGAGTATGGTAAAGGAGCTAGTGCCACCCTATGACTCTAACGTGCCACTATGATTAACCATTAAGATGAAAATGAAGCAGTTGCAGCAGTAGTCGTACTTTATTGATTGGTGTACATAGTTGTCTTAAAACAACCAATAACAGAGGCATAAAAGAGAAAGAGGTGTTGGCCAGTGATTTAAGGAAGCTGCTGTAAAGCTGCACACACATAATTCATCTTTTAATCAGTAGTAGTAGAGTCAGTATTTGTCTCAGTTCTTTTCTATGGAGATGTTAAACAACTACCTTAATACAGATCTGAGTCCCTCCTAATACCAGCAAAGACTAAGGACTAATGATTGTGGTCTTCAACTGTAACTCCAGGTGTTTTGTATGTTATTAGAGGACTAAAGACAAATAATTAAAAAAAACCTCTAAAACCATCAATTATTTGTGTTACTGTGTTGTGTATGTTTACTGCTTCTGAATTCATTAATGATAATGTTTGATACAGTAGTTCACATAATAATAGATTGTTTAAACGTGCACATTTTATGTCCCTCCCTTTATATGCTCAATGTAATCTCTCATGGCTACATGAAGCATATATGACCTACTAAATTACCATTGCTAAATCAAAAAGATGCAACAAAATATTAAATAATTATAATAATTATATAGAAGGCAAGGCTTTAGTTTCTCTCCTTATTCACAGTTGGGTAAGTCAGAAGGCTTTCATTCACTGCCCTGATTCAAACAGTGCAAGAATAAATCAAAGTGCTCAAGTGTAACTGACATAAAAAAATACATGTTGTTAAATTCATAGGATGCTTCATTAACGGCTATCAATGTTGAAGCTCACACGTACACGTAGCATTATGTTTCATGAAACACAAACACGATATCCTGTAAGTCCAAATGTGTAACAAGATGTGCTCTGACCGTGCGCTTATTCAGTAGCGGATCCACTGATTTGAAGGATGAAGAGGAAGATTTGAACAATATCAATGTAGAGAGAGAGAGCTCCGTAGATGTACTCCTCTGGGCTGATGGCCAGCTCCCGATTTCCAATAAGAAGCTGGGTGTTGTATACTAAAAACTAACAAAGACAGAGAAGATGGGACAAAGTTCAGTCATCAAAAAAAGATGAAACATAGGTTTGTCTATCTGTTGTCTTTGTCGAGTGCTGTATGGGGATCTAAATCTGACAGAACTGTCATTAACCATTAAATAGTAGTAGTAGTCGTAGCACACTTAATATTTGCTTACACTAAACGCAAAGTACAGCTGAGACCGATGGGAATGTCATTAGTTTTAAAGGTATAAAAAATAAATAAACCAAAGTATTGGACAAACTTTGGCCCTAAAAAAAACCCACCAGGGTCATTTAGATACATCCCGTGGGAACCGTCATTGTCTGTAAATGTTGGTGAAAACTTTGATCAACTAGTGGTCCTAGAGGAAAAGTCAGGGGATCATCAAAGTCGATAGGGGTACGTTTTCCCGGATGTGTGTGCAAAATCCAGCCATAAAGTATCTGTTGAGATATTCCATGCTGGTGGACAGAGCAACATTCCCTCGAGCATGGCTAAAAATATCTAAATATAATAGGAAAAATTCATGAAATTTACTGATCATATTCAATATCACCAGAGGCTGAACCCTTTACATTTTGGATGAATCTAAAGGGTGAATTAATTTATTTAAGTTTCCTGAGGACCTTCATGATAAATTGTTGCACCAACATCAAGACAGCCTGTTGTTAGCTCTGTCGAACATCGGGTATTTCCATGTGTAAGCACCATTATGCCTCTTTTTTTTTTATTCAACAATAACCTTGTTACCAAGCTCAAAAGCCCTCCTTGAATTCATGCGAGTGTAGACTCACCAGAGTGTAAATGATGGCTCCAATTGCAGCGTAGAGCATATGCAGCCAAGGGACCTGTCGAGTGACATAAGAAAAGGCCTCTCAATGTGAAATCAGTCATACATTTACACTCTACTGAGCCGCTACTCCTCACACTGAGAAACAGAGTGAGAGCAGAGAGAGAATAAATTAAAGAATTTGACCAAAGAGTCCTCACGTATTGGAAGGAGAGGACGACGGCTGTAACAATCCCAATGATCATGAGCAAAACGGCAGCAATGCAGAGAAATCCCCCGCAGGAGGTGAAGTCCACCTGTAATGAGAAACAAGTCATTAAGAGGATGAAAGCGAAGTTGATATGCTTCAAGCCACATGAAAGAGCAGTCGAGATAATTTGACAGAGGATCAGAATTGGGTAAAAAAAAAAGAAATAAAGAATGTTTAGGGTGGATGTGTCAGGTACCAGCCAAAAAATGTAACCGATTCATCTCGAGTTGCATCAGACAGAGAAGTTGGATTCACATCTTATCCCAAAATGTTATAAATATTTAAAGGAACTCAGTGCCCCATTGTAATGTGAGACAAAGGCGTTCTTTTACACTGACAACAAAGACATCCTCTGACAAGCCACGGGCTACTGAGCTACAGAGACACAGTTTACATCTCCATCTACCTTGGTTTGGAAGCAGAAGATTGTGACAGCTATACAAACTACTGCTGTTATTCCCATGGCGAGAAACACTGCTTTTGTTTCATAATAGCTGTAAAAGATAGATATAGTGATTAAAAACGTAAAATATCAAGGGGGGGAGGGGGGGGTAACACATCAAAATGGACTGTATTCGCAGTGTATTGCCTGATTTGGAGACGTAAACAAACCTCGAAATTGTTCCAGACATGTAAGACAAGGCGAGAGTCTGCAAGATAAAACATGAGAACCATGTGTAATATTTTCAGGGGGTTTTTTTTGTTGTCTTCAACTCACATATTATATCCCTCACAATATGTTATAAATTTTGACACATGGATCTGGTGGACCACAGACACTGTTGGCTTCTGTCTCGTTCTCCAACACACAATACTTACAAATACTCCCAGCAGCACAAGATTCCATGGGAAACGCCTCCTAAACACAAATTGTGATGAATATTTTAAAATCTATACAAACAGAAGTATCATAACCGGTTATGAATATTTAAATATGGCATAACATTATTAAAACTATTGTCTAACTTAGTCGCACGGGCCAGGACCACGCTTACCTCGGCTCTTTGCAGCAGAGGAGGATGCAGTACACCACAAAATAAACCACTCTATGGAGAGACAAATCACTAAAATTGTTACTGTATATGACACAGCTATTATTTTCATGACATGATGATTCTGGGGAGTTGCTCTTTTCTTTTTTGTTAATTTAGTTGCACTGACAGCTAGAGTGTAACTCACAAAGATGCCCAGTAGATGCCAGGGTATCTGATGACAAACAGCCTCACTGGGTCACTATGAAAGCAAACACATAAGGGATCACTCAGGAGCAGACCGTCCTTCACCCTCCCGTCAGATACATTACGCAAGTGAGATGAAATATTAGACTGGGATGAGCAGGGACACTTACACAAATGTAAAGACAGCAACAACTGAAAAGGTGACGGCAAGCTGTGCTGCTAAAATTAAGTAAACCTGCCCACAAACACAAAACCAAACAGTTCTGTTGAGCATACAAGAAGACATTTCAGTGGCTGTATAGATGACATAAACAGGCACTGTAAACAACAGAAAAACACACAGTAAAAAGCCTCTGTGTGAGACAATGAATGGTGAAAAATGCTTACCTTTCTAATGAAGGCATGCCGAATAGATGTGCTTTCCCATTGGGTTGTTAGAAAATCCTCCATGTCCCCTGCAGATTTGAGAATAATAAAGTGGTGATTTATACTGGTTGCACTTGGGAGCTAATCTAAATATAAAGCAGCATGATTTACTGTAAAGTCCTGTATCATTCCCCTCGTAACCTGGGTTGGATGGATTCACTCCGGCAGACAGAGTTGGTATTGTGGTGGGCACCGCAGATGGAGAGAAGCCAGGGGCTGCCCACATCCCGGCTTGCGGGTAGACACCCTCCTGGCCCCAGTAGCCAGGCGGGCCGGAGTAAATGCCAGGACTGGGGCTGTAAGATGGAGGTGGTGGAAGAGGGGAGCCATGTTGTGGCTGGTGGGGGAAGTTTACATACTTAGGATGGTGTAGCGCGTCCTCATAGGGTGGAGGATTATCAATTTTAGCCGTCATGATCTTGCTGGAGCGCCTTGAAGAGAAGGTAGACAGTGATAAGCTACATTTGACTTCTACTGTGAATGTAACGTAGTGGTGGTATGACACATATAAAGGGTAAACACATCCAACTACTCATGTCTGGTTAGTGTGTTATTTAATTATGTACCTATTTCTTTCATAGTTACAATTACTTAATAAAAACAGGTTATTATATTGATTATGCAAAACCTACAACACAGTTAAAAAATACTTTGTAACAAATGTAATAGTCCAAAGTTAGAGTTAAAGTTCTGTATTTATCATCTGCTGGAAAAGGCTATTTTCTTCTTTTTTTCTTTTTTCTTTGTTACCAAATTTTGATTGGTTTTCCCTTTTGCATCCATTAATGGGGGGGAGACATCACCCATAACAATCTAGTACTGTTGACACTGCAGGACACGTCTATTCACTGAGGTAATCACATATGTATTATAAATGTACATACATTTACATTCACAGAGTGATGTGGGATGAAATACACAAATAAATGGTGTGTATATTTCAGAAAAAGAAATGTATACTCAGGAGAACCCAAAGATAAAACACGATGCTGTGCCCTATAGCCAAAACTTTCAAACACAATTCAATCGGAATTTATAATAAAATACATTTTTTTAAAACCTCCATATAAACCTCATATGATCCTAATTATAACCACAAGCTATTTTTGCGTACTTGTAATAAATAAATACACCATATAAAAAAACCGAGCCAATGAGACTCTGAATGCGCATTACAGTCTAATCTGAATGAATGCTTTCGATGTAAACAAAAAAAAAAAAAAGGGGGGGGAAAGAAATAAAGATGTTTTTGGTACTCACCTGGTGGGTTCAGCCTTAGATGGGAGCACTGCGCCCTTCAGTCTTCTCTCTCCTTGGAGCTTTGCACAGTTGCACCACAGGAGGATGGCATCTTTGTAACAGGATCCGTTCACTGAAACTCACACTGTCCCCGTCTCAGAAAGCATGGAGACTCCTGTTGCTCCTGTTCAAAATAATGACAAATATAACAACAACACAAACACAGCGACTGTTCGGTGTACACACTTTTTGTTACTACTCCCAACATTTAGTTTTTATTTTTTATTTTTAAGTCATTCTGATATTTTTTTTTTTTCCCATAGGCCTATTATATTTTTCTTCTAAATTGACCCAGATGTTGGAGCCCACTGTGTGCTGTCCCAGTTTGAGCTGTAGTCTAATGTTGATCTGTGTCCCACCAGGAACGTTAGGCGGCGCTAAATTATTTAGAGGTCGACTCGATTCCATATTGACGCCATACATGCTCATATTTTGTATAAATTAATGTGGAATACATGTGTGCATGCCAAAAAGATATTAGTAGGCTGAAGGCTGGGGTAAAGACTTAATTTCCCCTTAATGGGAGTAAGAAAAAGCTTAAAATAATAGGCTTTAAACCTAAAATGAAGTCACAATAATAGAAAAGAGAAGATTTACGTTAATGTTTCTGTAAAAAGTACTTAGGTCATGTTTTACACGTTAGTTTTTTTGTTTTTGTGTATATAAATATACTGTTATTGCTGAAAATGAATGGTTCCACACATAATCTAATATAATTACATGTTTTGCAATCTTTGTAATATATATGTATATATTCCAAACACCGACAACAGTAACTTAAAAGACGTTTCTGGAAGCAACATCGCATCGGACTTGAATGTGATAGAGATAAAATATGTATTTAAAATGTTTTACAATGAACGCTTTTCAATTTACACACGTTTAGAGTTTAACATTAAGTATTTTATGATTATCTAATTTAAAAATAAAAATAAAAAAAACCAGCTGATCATATGTATGAGTCAGATCAATAAACGTACAACAGACACAATTTCAGGAGCCGATCTTTATACACACACAGCTTCTAAAACAGCAGCTTAAATAAACAAATAATAAATAAATACATAAATAAATAAATAATAAATATATATATCTCCTCCCTTCCTGGATCGGCGTGTCGCTTGACACGTCATTACGTTACGCTCGGAGGCTATGGCGCTTCCTGGATGGACCTCCGTGGACTGGACGCTGGTCGCCACCGCATCTTTCCTCTGTTTCTTATGTTTATGTGTTCGCTACAGACGCACAGGACAAGTGTTTTGGAGGAAATTGTTGAGCAAAGCCATGGCCCGCACGGAGAGGCCGTTGTTCCGAATCGCGTGAGTACAATACGGCCTCCGTTGATGACACAAAATGTTTTTGTCATCGTAGTAATTCTCATTAGCGTAGCTTAGCAACATCTAGCCGTTCTTATTGGGAGAGGCCCTCCCACCAAACTGGATTCAAATATGTATTAATTTAATATTGCTTTGCCATTAAACCACAAGTACAACCCCCGAAGTTGTGGTCTTCAACCTTACTGTTCACTGCTTTATTCGGCGTATATATGCGAGCCAAAAACTTACATTTTGATGAGCACCTAGTCTTTTTGTTTTTTTGTCAAACAACTTGTACTTGTAGATGGTGAAACTGTCTCATAGTTAATGCTGCATCCTGGAGCACAATTTCACCAAATAGAGAAAGAAAAGTAGTATTTTAAATGAATTAATGTAGCTATATCTTGGTAGAACTTTGGCCACGCTAGGTTTATTACATATTTCACTTGAAGTAGGCTTGTCTTTTGACAACATAGTGGGGTTAGCATTATCAGTCCCTTTGCCGCCAGACACAGTGTTTCCTATACCCTTTTTTGAACTGTTTCCCAGGTACACGCTCTACACAAGGACCAGGCTTGGCTACATGTACTACAAGAGGCAAATGAGGAAAGCCCGAGAACATTACCCCGCTGGACACTCCACAGCTCAGCCCATGGAGTTGGATGGTATGCTGGATTTTACTGTTTACTATCGTCATACACTGGTGCTTATATGCTGGTTATTGTGGGGAGATGCCATGGTTGGGGTCAAAGCTAGTGCACGGCGTTGTATGTTGTGCATACCTTTTTTTTATTTGTAATATCTTTGTCTGCCCACAGGTATCAAAATAATTCCCATCTCGGTACTGTCTGACAACTACAGCTACCTCGTGATTGACACAGCCTCCAGTGTTGCAGTAGTCGTAGACCCTGCAGACCCTCAGACAGTTCAGGTGAATGCCTCTACCATCAGTTGAGTGCATGATGTCTAGATACCACTTAAAGGGGGCTTTCAGATCTATGTTACCATGCAGAAAATTACCCTTTCTGTTCACTACGGCTATAGCTATTGATTGTCAATAGCTGTGATTGCAGTGAATGAGCTTGTTGTGTAAGTGCATTCTCAGCAGCATCCATTACAAGCACAAGTAAATTCAAGTAAGTTCCATACTGTGTCAACAGTCTGCAGGTATTTTGCAGCTCGATGGGCTTTTGAATAAAATGCTGCTCAAGAGTTGTTTTATGTGGCGATAAAGGTTTTAACAGCGCTTGTAATTTCTTAGGCAGTCCTTGAGGAAGAGGGAGTGACGTTAGAAGCAATACTCTGTACACACAAGCATTGGTGAGTTATATAGTTTTTATACATACATATTACTTTAATGTGTGGTTTGTTTTTAAGGTTTTATATATTAAAAAAACACGAGAGGATAAGGATAAATATGCCAAGTGTGACAGATTACAAAATCGAAATATCTAATCTGAGGGAAACACCCACAGTAATTTTAAAAATGACATGTATCTGAATATATCATACATTCTCTCATGTTTTAAAAGGCTCAATGTAGATTAAAGGCCAAAACAAATACACCGTTTCTAAATGCGTCCACAATACCGGCCTCTGCTTTCTGTTCCATGTGCAGGGACCACAGTGGGGGGAACAAAGGGCTGAAAAGGCTTCACAGCTCCTGCAGAGTTTATGGAAATGCAGCTGATAACATTCCTGGCCTCACACAGTAAGTCCCTGCTTACACACTATAGCACACTGCTTTCCAACAGAATCAGTATGACTGTACTGAGCCCGTCTTGTTCCCTCTATCAGCACTTGTAGCAGCTGACTTCACAGTAAATTATCATGGTATGATAAACTGTTCCGTTATGTCTGGGGGAGGGGCTTGTGGCCCAAGAGTGGAGGTCACCTTAAGCTCGACAACATCCAAAACACTGGACTAAAGTGTATTTTACAAAATGACAGTGAGTGATTTGACCAGATAAACCAGAAAACTAGCTGTTTACCATTTGATAAGAAGTGCATTTTAACACCAAAGCGATTTCAAAGAAGGGCTAGAGAACCTGTACATACTGCATATTTACACTTTGTTTATAATAAATCAGTTGGCTCTGCTTGCCAATGACCCTTCCTGCCTATTAGGGAACTGGCTGTTCTGGGTGTAGTTTGTGTGGTAATGCCCCACTGCTCTGATTGTCCAACGGTTTGGTAGGAGAGTTACGTCAGAGCTGCTGCATTGTCCATACATTTTCACGTTTCCTTTGATTTGATTGTGTAACACATTAAATCCAAAACACTACACATTCTCCTTGCAGTACTTTTATTTTTTGTCTGTCTTTTACAGCCCTCTCTCCGACAAGGACTCAGTGACAGTTGGCTGTATGCACTTTAAGGCCCTCTTCACCCCTGGACACACAGTGGGCCACATGATCTACCTCCTCGATGGCCGGACGGTCGGCACCCCCTCGAGCCTCTTCTCTGGTGACCTGGTGTTCCTCTCAGGATGTGGTGAGTTACAAGAGAAAGAGACCCATAGAAATAGTCAGAGAACTGACAAGGAAAGCAGAACATAGAGAACAGAAACTTTTGTGGTTTCTGTTTGATGTGGGGTTATTCTACACATAATGTGAGTCTTTGTACCCCCTAATGGGCCATGGAGTCACTGCAAGGAGAATGAACTGGCTGTTTGCTGATGCTAAGCTATATTGGCAATATAATGTTTTTAATACAGTCAGTGAAAAGAGAAACATTAAAGGATCTATTGGCAGAAATGGAATATAATAGTCTTAAGTAGGTTTTCATTAGTGTATAATCACCTGAAAATAAGAATAGAGAGAGCGGGTCTTCTTGTTTGTGGTCCCCAGTGTTGGACCGCTATGTTTCTATAATGACCCAGAACGGCCACCGTAGTTTCTGCTACAGAAAATCAGGGGGCAGTGAACGCAACGGTAGAGAGCCTATTACCTATCTGTACTATCTGTTATTTTTATGAGAGAATCATATCTTTTCAGATACCTGGTGGCTTACCTAAACCTTAGACTTCCAGACAAACTCTTCTCTACAACTCATATCTGTTAAGAATTTTGGCTCATATGCCTACCTGTTTTTTTTTTTTACCTGTGCACTCAGACCGCCTGGCCCCTCCACATGCACTCAGGTTAAGCATGTTTAGTAGTCAAGTCGTTTCTATTGAAAACTTCTCCTAGGTGTAGATCGCAGCTTTTTCATATCATCCTAGCATGCAAATTATGTAATGTATGTGTAAGTGTTTGTTCTTAAAAATTTGCAAGGTGCTGTTTATATCCTTATTGCATGGCTAATATTGAATACGTACTTTTTTTGTTTGTTTTTTAATCTAATTGTTACTTAAATGGGTATTGATTCTACTACCCTGTTGCCTGGAGGCTATAAGGAATTTAATTACGGAAATTGTGCAGTAGAGGCACTATAAAAAGTACAAAATTATTCAAATGAATTAGTGTACTGCAGAGTAAGTGGTACAGTAGCATACAACCAGCTTCAATAAACACATGCATTTCCTGTTATGCCTTTCCTTTTACTTACCATTTACAGTATGGAGTAATAACCTCCATGACCTTTAATCAATAAGAAATTAGTTGTGTTACACAGTTGATCAGTGTAAAACAGGAAGTCTGGCCTTCTAAATGCAGATACAATGCTTTGTGAAACCTGTTTTCAGCTCATTGATTTGAGTCAAACCAGTTTTTGATGTTTTCAGGGAGGATGTTCGAAGGCAATTCAACAATAATGCTCTCATCTCTGGACACAGTTGCCTCCTTAAGTGACGATACTCTGTTATGGCCTGGTAGGAAAATCTTCTCAGTTGTGACACTGTGTTTGTCAGTGTTTGTGTGATGTGGACTTTGTGGTTTTGAATGCGTTGTGACTTGAATCCAGCACTTTAACACACATACTGTAGCTCCAGTGCACTCATATACAGTCCAAGTCTTGAAAAGGGTTGTGTGGTGCTGCGTGTGGGCATGATTATTTTATTTTTGTGTCGACTTGGCTATCCCTCAGGTCATGAGTATGCAGAGGACAACCTGCTGTTCGCTGCTGAGGTTGAGCCACGCAACGCTGCCAGGGAAAACAAATATCAGTGGGTGCTGCAGCAGCGAGGCCAGAAGCTGTGCACAGTAAGAATGATACATCACCATTGTTATGCCTCTCTAGCATGCCATCCCAGAAAGGATTCATGATTCCCAGCACCTGGGAAGAAGGGCTTATCACCTGCCCACAGTGTGTGTGTGTGTGTGTGTGTGTGTGTGTGTGTGTGTGTGTGTGTGTGTGTGTGTGTGTGTGTGTGTGTGTGTGTGTGTGTGTGTGTGTGTGTGTGTGTGTGTGTGTGTGTGTGTGGTGCCCAAGTGCTCGCGCTCCTCTTGCTTCCTCCTCTTCAGGCTCTGGGAATCGACTCTCATGACTGATAGAGTCTGCAGTGGAGCAAAGGTTCACTGTTGAGAGAAATACCTATCCAAAACTTTTAGGAGGTTTTATCTGCCATCTGTACAGCATGGCACTAGAGGCAGTTTCACACATTTGCACCGCCCTGAACTTTCTAACGTACAACTCTTTCAATGATTGACTATATTGTTTTTTCTGTATTGTGTGCGTGCTTGATACATGAAATGTGGCTGGTCTGATTCCTTTAGAAATAGTTTGACAGATTTTGAGCTCTTGGGTTGTTTTTGAATTGGCAGATCAGGGGTAGAGTAGAAAAAAACATGCATACAAACAACAAAGAAAGTTTTGCTTTTAGCAGTGCTATCTAAAAGATTAACTATTGGAAGAAAGTTGTGTAAACTGATGCACCGAACTCCTAAAATACTGTAGTTCAGTTTGATCTAATGGTATAGCCAGGAAAAAAGAAGTGACATTAGGTTTAATTTGGCAGGAAACATCACTTGTTCTCCACAACTGTCTTCTGCAAATGAAAGAATGTCATGTAATTCATTGTGGCCGCTGGAGAGAGACTTAGGCACATGAAATTTGAAGAGGGCTCCTTTTTGACATGCTCTGCATTTTCAGAGTCCCTCCACTATCGGAGAAGAGAGGAAGTACAATCCTTTCCTGCGCAGCCACACTGCGGAGCTCCATCTGGCCCTGGGCATCCAGCAGTTCCAGGATGAAGACTGGACCCAGTTTAGGGCCAGGGTGCTGGAGGAGCTACGGAAACGCAAAGACCTCTACAACAGGAGATAGTACTGGGAACACTAAGAAGAGACATGAGCTAAACAAGTACGAAAAAGTAGCAATCTGCAGCTGTAAGTTAACGATGAGTGGAGCTCTGAGGTACTGTGTAAAAGACTCAATCTGTTCAAAGAAACTGGAAATTTTAAGGGGCATTAAGTAATTTTTTTTTCTTTATTAACCTGTGCCAGAGACCACTAGGAACATAGTCTCAATGTCATTATTACTACTACTACTACTACTACTACTAATCAGTTACCTCTGCACATACTGTACGTTATGTTAATTTTGTGTTTTTAGACATGATAAGGCTCATTTATTGCATCTTTAACATAGAGACATAAGCAGTATTGTAGATTTGCATGAGTAGCTTTGTGTTACAAGTAGGTACAACCAACTGTTTGATTCTTGTGTACGAAACACAAGGTGATACAACTTGAGTTAATTTAGTATATTAGGTACTGTGTGTCTTTTTTTTTTTTTTTTTTTAGTACACAGCCCAGTTGATTTTAAGGCAAGTAATACATTGTTTTAAAATCCTTTAATACTGGCTGTAATTGGTATGCTGGTTTCACATTTACAGTGTTGTTGAAGAGTAACACTTCTCCCTGGAATTTGTGATTTTTGGACTTGAGTATTTGAGTATGAATGTTTATTTTGATAGATTATTTTAAGCAATAACGGTACTACTACTTTAACGAATAACAAACACTCTTTGCTGTTGGTACTTTGTGTTAAAGGCAGACCAATATTTTGGGGCACAAAGTCTTTACACTAGTCTTTTATGTGAATCTTTGTTTGCTGAACCAATTTTGTTTTTAATTTAAAAGAGATTCATGTGATTGGGTTACTACTTTTATTTTATAATTCACTCATGAAACAGCAAGAATTCATCTGAAAGTGGGCCCTAGGTATTGGAGATGGAACACATATTTTCTAGTACAGCCCTTATTTGTGCCTCTCAGCATATGATTTTTTTGCTGAGCTAATAATTGTTCAACATTTAGAATTGTATTTTTCAAGTGTCAGTACTTGGAAGGGGAACAGCAGCATTTGTGAAAGATTTTACTACAGGTAGTGCATTGTAATGTATGAAACACGACTGAAATGCTGTTGATGGGGTGATTTTTTTTTTTTGTTAGCCTGTAGAATTACTTAAAACTGCCAACAGTAATAATGAAGATTAAACCTACAGGGTGAGGTTGAATCAAGCAATCTGGAGCCATACACTAAGTTCTTCGATCCCTTTAGACATCCGTTTAAAATGTGTAATATTTAAGAGTAAGATGCTGATTTCATTTTCTGTAATATGAGAATACAGTGTGATATTGACTGTCGATCTCACTTTCAGATTTCAGAAGTAAGGTTTTTATAGCCAATTTGAAAACTTTGAAAGCGAAATTGTACATATTTTTTTAATATATTGGAGGATTTATTATATTGTGACAATAGAATGGATGAAAATGATTTCAGTATAATAAACACTGTCTTCTTCCCATACACATTTGAATATTTGTCTCTTTTTTTGCACATGTTTTTATAAAGGAAGTGCAACACAGCTTCTGTTTAGGTGGAGATGGGCGAGAATGCAAAGGAATAAAACCTTTAAACTTTTGGAGGAGACATGAACGCGCCTCAGATTCCTCTGTTGCTCCTGCAGAAGGACTCGTACCAAAGCACCTTGTCCCCTGGTGATTGTTGACTAAAATGTTATTCTGTTTGTTTGATGCAGATTTGCTTCTTATTTGCATATGTTTGAGTTATGAATACCTCCACATGGGAGAGTGTTTTACTTCAGGTTACGTTTTAATGAGGAAATATGAAAGCAAACTGCTTCATTAGAGCTGTGTATGTTATTTGTTGTCTTTAAGAGTGTTCATAACTGACAGCGGAGTTATTTTTCCTACTGCTATAAGTTCCCTCAACTCAAATAAAACCATAACCTACTTTATGCGCATGCAATAAAACACAAGCTGTAGGATTACAAAACAATGTGTTTTGCGTCTAGAGTCCCCCCCAGGCGATACTTTTTAAGGCTTCTCTGTAAATCACAGGGACAGTGATGATAGTAGAATCAGTAATTTATCTGACATATAAAGAAATAAAGGAGAAATAAATGATACTGTTAATACTGATTTGAAAAGCAGAAGTGTGCTTGCATTAGCTCCTCTAACTCAAAGGCTCGCAATACTTTCGAAATGAATAACATTTAAAACAAGCAGAAACGGCTGCCTTGACTATCATAAACTCAATGTTGCAATGTTCAATCCAGGTATAATGTCTTTCAGGTCAACGGGTATTACTACTCCCATTTTATTTTATTTCTTTTCCTTCAGTTAGGTTGTTTCTAACCTGGGGCATTTTTGACATGTCACGGTTGTAAAAGCACAGGTGTAAGTATTAAAATTAATGATGGCTGAATTCCATTTTGCTGCTTTGGTTTGGAGCAATCGTTAATGTTATTGTTAACACTTGCGCTTTCCCCAGCATAACAAGTCGAAATTATTATTTTTTTTCTTAAACATAACACAGGCAGAATTATATAAAAAGTTCCCTAAACAGGAAATAATCTGCTTTCATCCAAATGACAAATAACACAAACGTCTTGCGGTTACTGAGTTCACTATTTGGGTTCATTGTACAGTAACGAATATAATATGAAATATCTATAAAATATGTCACTAAATCAGGGGTTGTCAATTTAATAAATTATAGAAGAAGGGGTCCCTTATGGAAAAAGGTTGGGAACCAGCTGGTCTACACTGTGTATGGATGGGTAGATGGTTGGCTGTTGCATGTGTTTGCTTGATATTGCAAAGGTGTTAATATTGTTCATCCAATGAGCCACCATTATATCTTTTTTTTTTTATTCCAGAAAGCTTCAACTTAAAGGTCTGAAATCTCTGATGTCTCATAAAATGAAGCTCCACTGTCCCTGTAAACGTGAATGTCTTGAAGAACACGAGAGAGATCTACAAATGCAATTTTGCATGTAAGCATTTTTCTGTAGGCAGTCTGGAGGAATATGATTATTTGCAAAATACAATAACTGTAAGATAGAACAATCAGAAAACTGTCATTTTCTGATTGATATGTTTCAAAATAGAGAGACTAACAATTAATTTGCCTTTTATATTCATAGGTTCAGCAATTTATTCAGCTCTTTATTCTGTATTAGGCTTTAATTCTCCTAGATCGCCTACTTGTTTTGTCTGATGGGTTCTCTGTCCCTATTAAACTATTAATTTTGTTGCTATAACATTTTTGTTTGGGATGCTTTTACCACTCTTTTATTGATTACTGAATGCAGATAGATACTGCATATCACCTTAATAACACCTAATGCAATGAATGCTCCCCGTTAAGCCAACATATCTTGTCAGAGGTCTTTATTATTATTATCCAGTTGCTGAATTTCTTAAAAAAAAAAAAAAAAAAAGGTTTAATTTGAAACAGACCCTTGTACCTTTTGTAATATGGCAGCTGAAACTGTTTTCTCATGTCCTGTGTCCAAAAGATTTGGTCAGACATAAAGAATTGGTTAATGACATTTCTCATATTTTTTTTACGTGGACAATTTAGATGAATCTATCTCTGGTCATTCTTATAGGTAAATGTCATATTCACTGTTGTAAATGGAGAAACAGCAAGCCTTCCTTTGAGTGTGCTTTTAAATGACTTTTTTTTTTCTTCTTTATTTTTCTTAAAAAAATAACATAGATTTATTATTTTGTCACCCATGTTTGTTTATTATTTCTTGCTCATCATGAGTTCATTTTGTTTCCTTATGCCTGAAGATTTAATTACTACCTAGTTTTTTTAGGTTTCCACATGTTATCATTCTTATAAATCCCCCTATTTTTTGTTTTATGTTGTATTTTATGTATTATGTATTCCTGTATGTGTGGTATTGCGACTTTAATATATATATATACACACATATATAAACAATAAATAGCAGAGGACACCTGACACACAAAGATCTGTATGAATATAAAGGTCTTTATTAAATCCTCCGCTCCGTTTCAGTCTCTGACTCCGCCCCGTGGTTTCACTCTGATCTCGGCGACGTCACAAGCAGGAAATGGATGCGGAAGTGTTCCCAAACAGCCACCGCAGGTTGTGTTCAGACAGCACTCACCAAATCACGATGCTGAAGGCGGTTATCTTAATTGGAGGGCCCCAGAAAGGTAAGAAGAAATCCCATTCACGTCGTGTGTTTAAAGTAAACCGTGCTGGGTTAATGCGAAGCTAGGTTGCTAATGCTAACTCTGCTGCTTATATCACTGACGTGGCATAATGAGGGGACACACCACACAAACAAAGGAAAACAACAGCTTAAACACTTCATAACAATAACAATATAACAATAAATAACAACACTGTCTATGCAGGTAGCGGTAAAAGTGTGCTGTATGTGTACTCTGTCTATTATTATCGTTATTATTGGGCTAATATTATTGCCCTCTTGGACCCATTGTCACTCATAGCAACGTACTCCACTTGAAAAAAAGGTGTTTTAAGATTTTTTCTCACATTTACTACAACAATGAGTTAGATAATAAGTTTAATCGAGGTGTTAGGAGTCATTGTTCAGTTCGGCGCAAGTTCAGTAATCAGTCAACCGTGTTTAGTTTAAAAATATTAAAATTAGATTAGTAAACCAAGTGGAGATTTTATAGGGATTATGTGCTTCCTGGTGATCACCCCTAATGCAACGCTCCATAAGGACAAGGCAGCTTTATTTAGGCCTGTATGGCACATTTCAAACAAAGAGGGCAGTTTAAGGTGCCTTTACACAGGCAAAGAAAAGCATTAAAGTGTTTGTATGTCAGAGAGAACAGGGCATTGCATATAAAGTAATTAAGGGTTTGGTTTCATTTGAATTCACACTGAGGAAAAAGTCTGGTTTGCAAGTAATCACCTATACACTGCTTTTCAGGCACAAGGTTCAGGCCGCTGTCATTTGAAGTTCCCAAACCCTTGTTTCCAGTAGCTGGTGTGCCCATGCTGCAGCATCACATTGAAGCATGTGCCAAGGTGAGAGCCACTGCAATACCGAAGTCAGTGTGCAGTGGGGAATTAGCAAATGTAGTACACAATCTAGGGTGATTGTGGAAGAGTTTGTCGTCCCAGTTGCTGGTTGGTGTTAATACATTCTTTCCCCGTGCTTTGTGATGCAGATAATAGCATTTAATGATGATAATAATAATGAAGATCTTTTGTGTTACCAGGTACCAAATATGAAGGAGATTTTGCTCATCGGCTTTTATCAACCAAATGAAGAACTGAGCAGATTCCTGTTAAATGCACAGCAGGAGTTCAAAATTTCCATCAGGTAAACAACAGAGCTAGACAACGTACCTAATTACTTGAATACTGAACACTCGCAACATTTATTGTATGTACTGCTAAGGTGTTACGTTTCATAAATAAAGAATGTCTTCTTCTTCTTCTTCTTCTTAATGACACATAATTCAGTAAAGAAGAGACACCAGTTGTTAAAAACAATTCTCAGATGCTCTGAACTGTGGTTTAAAAAAAAATGTCTCTGTTGAATCCGGCATAAACAGAAATACTTGAATATTGCTTCTTTCTTTTTCTTCTTAAGTTCATGTTTTCTGTGGTGGTAGTTTTCCTGCTGTGGTGCGATACCGCTGCTGAGTAACTGCTGGTATGCTGTTCGTCCTGTCTCTGAACCCCAGGTATTTGCAGGAGTATGCAGCCCTGGGCACGGGAGGGGGCATCTATCACTTCAGAGATCAGATTGTTTCCGGTAGTCCAGAGGCTTTCTTTGTTCTGAATGCTGATGTTTGCTCAGCGTTTCCTCTCGCCGAGATGCTCAGCTTCCAGAAGGAACACGGAGAACCAAACAGCTTTGTTATCCTTGGGACAACGGTGAGATTTCATTTTTGACAGTTATTGTCTTTATTAGAAGTAAAACTCCTAAAAGTTTTTTTATTATTGTTATTATTTCTGTTGTTTTTTTTTTTTGGTTCTGTCAAAATTTGATGTATCCTAAATGTTTCTCTTTTATCAGTCAAACAGAAAGCAGTCCATGAACTACGGTTGTATTGTTGAAAACGAGGAAACGAACGAGGTATTTAACCCTTCCTATTCCTATTTCCCTAAATAGTCGCTCATCACTATTTTACCTTAAAATCGCGACTGCGCCTCTTTTTCATTCAGGTCTTGCATTACGTGGAAAAACCGAGCACGTTTGTGAGTGACATCATAAACTGCGGTATATACCTCTTTAACCCCGACATCTTCCAGCACATCGGCACCGTCTTTCAAAAGAATCAACAGGACATGTTGTTGTGAGTTGAAAGCTCTCTCTCTCTCTCTCTCTCTCTCTCTCTCTCTCTCTCTCTCTGAAGCTCTGGGGGGGGGATCTGTGTGCGGGGAACGCATGTGAATACCATTTTATTCCATTCCTTTGGTTCTCTTCATTTGTCTTTTTTTCCCCTTCCCTTATCTTCCCTGCCATGATTTCTGTT